AATCTCACTCTTCTTTTGTGGCACTTAGAAAAGAGCCATTAGCCATTAAGACGAATTTATATTTGTCTAGAGAATGATTTGCAAGGCATAATCATGTTCTAAACGCTTTTTGTTAACACGTGTTTAAGTAGATTGCTTCCATAACTTCAGGAATTATACCAACAGTCTCACCCTCTAGATTTACCTCATTTGCTCATTGTCTTCTCTTTCATTTTCTTCTTTGAAAATTTGCCTCTGTAAGAGATTTTCCTAAAGACTAAAATAAACTTTGAAAATGTAAAATGTCTGCTCCATTCTTTAATTACTTTTATAAGCCTAAGATATCTGTTCCAATAGTATATTATGGCCCTAAAATATCAATAGTTCAAAGGTCATTGGTTTGATTGTGATCTCGATTTCATGGTGTGTGCTTACTCAGATTCAGCTGTGCCTAGTGAATATGCACAATCATATTAGTTATAGTACTGAAAAGTATCAAAAAGTGTAGGAGTAGCCTAAAATGAAAATTAAAAATTGCAAAATATATTAAGGTACAGTTGTGACATGAATAAATAGATTGCAGTGTTATGATAGTTTCCTTTATCTTGTTTATGATACTTGTTCAGTGCAGTGTAAGAACTGATTTATTTCTTTGTAGTTACTGAGTAATGTGTCCATGATACTTTGTATTTGAATTAGAAATCTCATTTATTGCCAGAGTACAGGAGTTATTCCTAATTTTTTAGCATGTGGCTATGGGTTGCTTGTGACTTTGTGTATATATGCATCTGCATACCACGGAGTTTACCAGTTTAAGATGCTAACATTGAAATCCTTCAAAAATTTTACAGAGCACTTCTGTAAATTAATTATTTTTGGTTTGAGACCCTCAAGCATCGTAATGTCAGAAACCCATGTAAATTTTCAAACCATAGTTCTTGTCTCATCTTGAATGTTGTCACCAGTCATTTCATATTTACAAGACCTGAATAAGGGAATAGCATTAAGCTTATACCACAGTCAGATTTTTTTAAATGTCCATTTCATAAGTACCATTAATAATTCCTCATCAATAAGATCTGTCAGTCGCCTAGTTTAAAATGTTCATTTTTATAACGTATTTTGTAAGTTAAATAGGATGCAATATCAACCCAGTCATCAAAAGTTTGTATGTATTCCACGATCTACATGTATCCATATTTATTCATAAATACCTGTGTATGTATATTTATATATAAAGTATACATGCACTTTATAAATCAGGAGTCTTGGCAAAAGCTTGTCAGACTTTTTTAAGTATGACCATTTTTTGGAAAGATATTCTGTCATACTGCATGGTTTAGCAAGGCTTATGCAAGTCACTTTTAAAAACACTTTAATAACTTACTTGTCCTTCTAGTGTTCTGGAATTTATTTGCCTTTTTATGATTTACAAAACACAAAGAGCTCACAGCAGTTCCTCCTCAGTTAATGGTACTTATCTGAAGTAGATATGGTCTAGTATCTTTTCAGTCACTGATGGCATGATACAAAATGGAGATATTTATCAGACATTTGTGTGGTTTTTGCCTTAATACTTTTAACATCTCCAGGTACTAATTACCAGAGCAACTAGGATTTTTTTTTGTTTTTCAATAGTTTAAAAATCAGCTGATGATTTTTTCCACACGAGTGTACAAATCAGTAGTGCTGCCAGTAACTGTAACTGGCCAGATTAATAACCCTAAAAAATAAAGCCTAAATCACAACAATATTTTTAAATTCCTAGAAAATGGAAAATTCTTTGGTCCTGTTTATTATGTATATATGTTCAGTCCTTAGAAAACTGAGGCCTTGATCCTTGTGGATGGTTGGGAAGAATTGATGTTATGTGAATTGGGTCTAACCAACTTGCCTGAGGTCTGAAAGCAGCTGGTGGCATGTGGTTTTATATTGAACAGTTTCAGAATTAAAATGCTTATTTTGGTTTTTGGTTGGAAAAATATTCAACAGATTTAAGAACAAAATTGCTTGTAGATGATTGTGGTGGGTTGACCTTGGCTAGCCACCAGATACCCACCAGCCGCACAGGCAAAACAGCCTCGGCTCAGGGAAATTAAATTAATTTATTGCCAATTAGAAGTCAGAGTAGGGTAATGAGAAATAAACCCCAAATCTTAAAACACCTTCCCCACACATCTCCCTTCTTCCCAGGCTCAACTTTACTCCCCATTTCTCTACCTCCTCTCCCAGAGCAGCGCAGGGGGATGGGGATGGGGATGGGGGTTGGGGTCAGTTCATCACATGTTGTCTCTGCTGGTCTTTCCTCCTCAACTCTTCCCCTACTCCAGCATAGGATCCCACCCACGGGAGACAGTCCTTCATTAATTTCTCCAGCATGGGTCCTTCACATGGGCTGCAGTTCTTTGTGAACTGCTCCACCAGGGGTCCTTTCCATGGGGTGCAGTTCTTCAGGAATGGACTGCTCCAGCATGGGCGCCCCACAGGGAAGCAGAAAACCTGCTCTTCCACTGTGGTCTCCTCTCCACGGGGTCACAGGTCCTGCCAGGAGCCTGCTCCAGCACATGCTTTTCACAGGGTCACAGACTCTGTCACATCCACCTTCTCTGGTGTTGGGTCGTCCACTGGCTACAGGGTGGATATCTGCTTCACTGTGGACCTCCATGGGATGCAGGGGCACAATGTGCATCGCCAAGTTGAACACTGAGGGAACTGACTGGTGCCTGACTGCGGTGGTGGACTAAAATGTCATTGTATTTAATGATTGTGCTGCAAAGGGCGTATTTCATGGGGCCACGTTCATAGTTTTAGGGGCAGTGCTGCTTCTGGCATTCTCACACTCTGGGAATTGACCTCTCAACTGTTTTTAATGGTAATAATTGTTGTGGAAATAATATATAGACTAACATCACAAGACAATACCCTGTCCCTGGAAACATTCAAGGCCAGGTTGGACGGAGCTCTGAGCAACCTGGTCTAGTTGAAGATGTCCATGTTTATTGCACGGAGGGGTGGACTAGATGACTTCTAAAACCTGGTCTGGTTCAAGATGTCCCTGTTCATTGCATGGGGGGGTTGGACTATGTGACTTCTAAAGGTCCCTTCCAATCCAAATTCCTATGATTCTGTGACAATGGAAATGCTGTAAAAAATACTAATTATTTTAAATCTCCAAATGTAATCATGCATTGCATTTTTGTTACAATGGCTGGCTAAATGTGTAGAAGCTCCTTATAAGGAGGAAGATGACTAACCCTTTCATGTATTCAGTTTCTGAATGCATAAGGAATTCGGACACAGCTAGGATGAATGCTGCCAGAATACGATAAAGGGGTGATCTAAGGTCTTGAAGTCTGGTGAGACTTTGCTCTGGAAGGAGTGAGAAATGTTGTTGAGGGAAGTTCTGTTTGTAAAGGTTTGCTGCATAAATAATCTGCTAAATGCTACATTCAGTTCAAATTATGGGCAAAAAGAAGCAATTCTGATTGAAAAGAATAAAAATGACAAACAGCCTGTTTACTAATTTATTTAATACATGCTTTATAAATTTGTTATTTCTGTTTTGGTTTATTTCAGCAATATGCGTACTGTTATAATATGGATGTGTATTCTATTACTTGTGGCTGTAATTATTCACAGTGAGCTAATTTATGCCATTGATATCTCATTCACTAAGAAGTGCATGGTAAAACCTCAAGAGTTTTGATTTGGATAAATATCTAGCAATACAGATGTTTATGTAAACATTTTTGAGATTTACATTTTAAAAATCTTATGAAATCAGCATTTGTTTGATCCCTCAAATAGATTTAATTTAGTTTTTATTTCTAATTGAATCAACTGACCTATTTTTGTTCATTTTGTACTTTCTTTCAGTGAAAACAAAGACAGCTTTTAGGAGTAAAACTGATCATTCTATCTGGTTTATAAGTTTGTTGGGGTTTTGTTTGTTTGTTTTTGTTTGTTTTGAGTATTTCTTTGTTTCGTGTTTTGTGGTTTTTTCCTCCTCCTGAGCATAAAACCTATTAAACCATTTTTTTTTAATAGGCACATTTCTGAAAGAACTGTTACTTAAAGAGAACGAGATTGCTTTAATTTCATTTTCAAGTCATGGAGAAAAGTTAATACCTTCCAGTCTAAAGGCAATGTGACAGCTGAATATGAATATAAATATCTCTGAAAAGAAAGTTAAGAATGTGAAAAATGATTAATGGTTTCCTATTAAATGCCATAAACATTTTTTGCTCTAAAGAAGAATTAATGATAACTTCTTTAAGAAGTTTGCGAACAGTTACTGCTTGTTTGTATGCTAGAAGAACTTAAAATGGTTCAGGAAAACAACAAATGATGGTAGTATCCATATGTCCTAATAGGCAAAATTAAAACTTTGAAGGGTTTTCATGTTTCTTTTTCTGTAAAATATGATATACACAATGACATACTTTTGTGTAAAATATGGGTGTATGTTTAATGACATAAGTTATTTATTTAATTTATTAAGTATAATAAAAGTGTAATAACTTCATTCATGACTGATGCCTTTCTAGAAAGATTTTTCTTCTCTTTGTATGAAAGAGTTTACTGGTATTGGCTACAAGCTACTATGATGAAAATTAACTTTATCTCAGCCAAAACCAGTACAAAAAAAGTTACATGACTTTTCTAAAAAAAAAATTCTCCTGAATGACCTCGTAAAGGACAATAACAGACTCTTCAGAAATAGAATGTAAGATACATACATGGATTGCATGAATATTTTTTACAATTTCTTGCTGATAAATTTGAAATGCAAATCCAATCTGAAATATCAAACCAAAGTTTTATTTTAAATTTAAATTCATGAAAACCACCAAAGTCTTACTAAGTGCCTTACATTGATGTGGTTACTGCTGAGTGAATGCATCCCTTCTGTGCCCATAGAAACTGATTTTCTATACATTCTCAGATAATCTTCATATAATAAAATCTACGAAAAACAGACGTCTTATTTGCTTATTTATACTTACTTCTTTCTTTTCCAGATGACACGAGAGCAGTACATATTAGCAACACAACAGAACAGCCTTCCAAGGACTGAACATCCTCAGTTTTACCCAGTAGGGATTTATGGATGGCGAAAGAGGTGCTTATACTTCTTTGTCCTTCTGCTGTTGGTTACCATGATTGTTAACTTAGCAATGACAATATGGATTTTGAAGGTTATGAATTTCACAGTGGTAAGTATCACAGTGACCTTATGTACCCTGTTTCTTGAAGTAATAACTTGTAGTTTTAGTTCTCTCTCCTTTACCGTGTTATATACGAATATTGAAATTTTGGATTAAAAATCGTATCTCCTTTAAGCATTACTTCAGATAGTTATACTTTTTGTGTATATTCTGCAGTGAGGTGACCTGTGTCCTGTCTATTCAGATATTTTTGGTAACTCGTGTCCGCTGAAAATATATCTGGATCTTAGATATTTTTTTGTCGTTTGCCCAACCAAAAGCATCATGGTGACTACCCCAAGCATCTCCTGGTTGCTTGTCACCACTGACAACAATCAGCGGGTGTTTGCTATGCCTGTCCTGTATGGTATCTCTCTTAGGAGAAAACTGGGTTAGTTGGGTCAACTTAGGATGGCTTTTTCAGTTTATGTTGTTCTTAGTATTTCTTTAGAGTTTACTGACCATTTGGATTGGTTTTCACCTAGAACTTAGAGTAGCTGTTTTGATGTTGATGAGAGGGGGTAGATGGGTATAAAAGCCACAGGCTTTTATGAGACAGCCTTCATCTGGAATCTTTAATAGCAGCAAAGTGTTACCAAGTCTGTATTTCAGTGGCACATCTGAATGAAATTCTGTGTTCAGTAGAAACTACCCAACTGCTCCCAAAGCTTTGTTTTGATAAAGGTAGTAGGAGTGCTCACTAGTTGGCAGTGGAGTAGTGTCATTTTGTATATCAAATAAAAAGATAGAACACTACACCATTTAAAATAGAAGTGTTTCTGCTAAGATCAGTGTAGTCTCTCTCACTGGATTTTGACCCTCATAAGCTCTATTTTGATGTAGCTAGTAATACATTTCTAATTCCTAGGGTCATAGCACATTTCTATTCTCCAATAATTTATTGTAAATAAAAACCAGCCAACAAAACCAGCATTAAACATGTCTAAAATTGTTCTATCTCTGCTAATGCTCTGTAATGCATAGGGTTATCTGAGATCATTGCCCGGTGAGTTGTATTGTGCTGATAAATTGCCACTTCTGAGTTGCCACTAGTGGATGAATATGTGGGATTCATATTTTGATGACTGTAAGACTTTAATATTCATGTACTGAAGAGTTTGTTAGAAGTTTTGGGGGGAGGTTGTTTGGGGGTTTGGGTTTTTTTTTTGTTTTATTTTGTTTGGGCTGGGTTTTTTTTTAGCGTAACGTGCTTGCAAAACATGCTTGCATCCGCATATGCTTTTGTTATTTTTGTTAGGGGCATATTTAGGCATATCTGTTGACTTTAGTAAGATATTCTGCTATTATTCCAGAGGAGAATTAAGCATGGAAATTTAAATAGTTTAAGAAGATGTTTTAAAAAGCACAGAATTTTTCTCTGTGCAGAAGATTGCATTCCAATATAATATTTGAAGCTACTGCTTCCATGCCTAGGCAATGTTTGACCTTCCATGCTATAAGCTACTATAGCACTATCCAGTTTAAAACTCTTACAATTTGAACATACAGTCTTTTAAAGACAAAACCAAAACAGACATTTTGAAATATTTTTCTTTCCCGTATGCCAAAGCTTTCTTAAAAATATAAACGTTTATGGTGACTCAATAGATCAGTGCAATAATCTATTGCAGGAAAGAACTGGATTGTTTCAGCAGTTTTGTGTAGTACTTAGTGAATTGAAGACCTTGCTTCAGTAGTTGAAAGATGTATGTATCTGAAACAATTATGCAAACACTGGCTTAATAATTTCACAAAAATAGTGTTTGAAATGTTACACACTTCATTTATAAATTTGTTATTTCATTATTACAATTCAAAAATCACAAAGATTATGTGCATCTGTAATAATGCTAAGTTTGTTATAAACACAGATAAATGCTATGCCACTGAGTAGTGTGAATTAATCTTTAACCCTCCTGTTACAGAATTAAAATTAATTTTGTATATTCATATTTACCATAGCCAAATATACCAGTAAGTGATTTAGAAAACAGAAGCGGAACATATCATTCCTCTTTCATATACACCCTACATACTCCTCCCTGCAATATTGCCTGTGCTTGGGAAAACTGTTCATTTTGGAATATCATATACCCCTTAACTACCTCAGGAATGAAAATTCCTACTTAAGAGCTCATCATGAACAATTTGCAAAAATTACTATTACCGAAGGATCTTGTACTTAAAAATAATAATAGAAGCATTTTATCTAATGAGCATATCACCACCAGATCATTCTTACTGAAATTTATATGTAGTATATCTCTGTTGACATAAAAATATTAACCTTTATTCTTTTCATGGCAAAATATTTCATGCTTTTGTTTAATGAAATGTACTGCTTCAGGACTGATATGGTTTTGTCCTCCAACTTTTATATAAATTTATGGAACAATCTGTGGTTAAACTGTTGCAGAAAACAGAATCCATATGATTCTGTGGTTTATGACCTGAGATAGTGTATCTTAAAGTGCACACAAATGTTTTCTAAAGAGGCTGTTAAAAATAGAGTAATTAAATGACATGATAATAGGTTATTTAATATTATAAGGCTACATGTAATAGCTCTAGGTAGGTCATATAACTTAAAGCTGAAAGAATGAGAAAAGTCTGTCAGTATTTGCTTCTGCTTTTATAAGCATCGGTACTTTGGATCATGTTCTAATCCATTATGTTAAATATGCAGTGAAGAATAACCGTTTTCTTCTGCATATTCATGGAACATTAGTCTTCCGCTTGGACTAGTTAGTACTCACAGTAGAGTGTCTGTATGGGTTCAAAAATTGATTTCTAGAAGATTGCCGTATAAGAAGTTTAGTAAGATCTTCACGCTTATGCCCACACACGCATATTTGAGCCCCAGCGGGAAATTTGTATCAAGTCTAAAGGAGTCATGTTCTTAGTGGCAAACATCTGAGTAAAATGATCTATTGTATGAACCTAAACTTCATGTATTTAAAGAATGCAGTGGCTTTGAAATATACATATATTTCTTCCATGTGCATGTATGTAAGTATGGATAGATATAAACTAAGAAATTACATTTGGTAATTTCTAAGATAGATAGATAAACTAAGAAATTACATTTGGTCTGGCGGTGATTGGAAATCAGGAGTGCAGCTAGAAATGTTTTGAAAAGGAAACCACTTTTGCTAAACTGGTTTAAAGAGTTTTTGCACAAAAGAGGAATCTAGCCATGATAAAATAATAGTTGAAATTGAACTGCTTTGACATTTTGACATCGTTTGAAATTATTTGCTGTTTTAGCACATGCTAATGTTGAGATTTTTATAAAAACAATAGTAATTGCACCACTTCAAGGGGTCGTGAAGAGCCAGGGCATAGGTTTGTCATTGCTGGCTGACAATTACAAAAATATTAATTTGTATTAGCTGTTCACTTTCTATTTTTAACTGTACAGCTGAAGCCAGTGACCAATTGGCACGGTAAAGCCTTTCTGAGTTCAATTTATGGATTGTCCAGTTGAGAAAGTTTTCTGAATATACTGACCTTGCCTGTAAAAGTTGCATTCTGAATCTGAGCTGGTTATCCCAAGCCCTTTTTATGCACAAGGAGGAGAAACAGGATCTCCCATAAGGCCATTCATCTCATAGTAAGACAGGCAACGGAAGTGCATTGTCCTTAAGGCACGGATGTTGAATAGCTCAGCAATGAAGTAATTAAAAAGGAAATATGCTTTATTTGCAGTTGTGTAAGAACATAGGACAGGCAAATTGTGCAGGTCTCCTTTTTTTCAGATTAAGTAATATAGCTGGGAAACTTAGAGGAACTTTTGAGTATATAGTTTCTTCTTCCAATGTATGATGTACGAAAGAAACTTGAAAGGTAAATACAAGCCATAAATAACTTTCCTGATATAGTATGTATCAGTTAGACGAGCAAAACTGAAGGTAGTCAGTATCTGTGTAGCAAAAGGAATATTAGACGGAGGACTCAGAGGTGCAGTGATCATTTTTTGAAAGATATTCCCCCACTGGTAGTTTAGCGTTACTGTCCTTTAACATCTAGTTGAGATCTGTTACCTCACTGTTCCATCATCTGTTTAGAAAGACATATGTGAAAGCATGTAAGAACTTCAGGACAAAGTCCCTAAACGTTTCCCCTGACAGATGCATGTAGATGTAACACACCATACCATCCTGGGTTTACATGGAAAGTAGTAGGAGGCTGTATTAGAGTAGGAGTAGGCTGTATTAGAGGAAGATCTGACCTTGAACAAAATGCTCTGAAATAATCCCTGGTCTAAACTCGTCATTGTAATAAAACTCTTTGTTGTTTTATGTGCATCAAGTGGAACTACTCTGTCCTGAGTGGTAAAGATGAAATAATTTGGCAGCCTTTACAATATATTATCCCCTAATGGAACCATCATAATCTCTGAATCACATGCTTGAACATCATCTATTGTATTAAATGCTTGCCTGAAAAGTAAAAACTGCTGTCTTCAAGAATTAACTCAACTTTCCTCATGTCTCCTAGGCCTGATCTTCAAAGGATACATGCTAAACATCAAAATAATAGGCTTAGGAGACTTGAGTTTTATGGAACATTTATAATTTCCTTTCCTTGTACTAACCTTGCCATGGTCCACAGGCTCCCCCATGGAAAATGTCCGTCTTTCACTTTCCCTCAGGGTAATTACCTGTCATTTAGTCTAGGTTATGGACGTCTAATGAAGGTCAAAGTTGTTAGTTACTTTTTTGTGCCTATACAATTAGTATACTAGGTGTTTCAAGAAGGATGGGACACTCAAGTCGTAATTTGGTGACATAACCACAGGGTAAAGTATGACTATGTTGTGTATTTATAACATCCTGGTTATTTCAGTTACATAATATATATGAATTGTGGGGGATAGCAAGGAAAGAAATATTTTTTACAGTGCCTGCATTCTTGTCGTCATGTATTTTATAGTCCATAGCATAAGTAGTTAGCTTACTTTTTCCTTAAAGATTTAATCACTTGAACATTATTCTCTCCTATATATT